ACCCTCAAAAACAATGGAGGTTATGGAATAAAGCAATTAAGAGGAGACTGGTAGATTTATTAAACATACAAGCTAAACTGTAGGCCATCTAATTTACCAGAAAGATCCAGGGAAAGAGAGCCCTCTTGGAGTCTGACCGCACCAACTCACCCTACAAAGGTGTCTAAATTTAATTTGATCAGTTGGTGAAGCAATTTATGTCCAGGTCATTGTTTGTAATCTGCTGGAGCAGTCCTCCAGCAATTAGTGGAGCTTGACAACTGGGAGTGGTCAAAGGAACAATAAAAGAGAAACCTAATGAAGCCAGTGTCATCACAGGGAGGGTGACAATAGGCATTCCTATGGCTGAATCCTCTTAGTAACAACACCATGAGTTTTGCACTGTGAGGGGGGGAGTGAAGCTAATAAAACAAATTCTATAAATATAATTTGTCCCTCCTTTCTCCTCTCATATTTTAAAAACATATAAATATTTATACAAATAATTTAACAATGCATTATTGTATTTGTATCATACATTATGTAATATGCATAATAATATCACAGAAAGAGGGGAAGAGGAGTAGGGATATATAGGAATAGCATTTTTGCATCACACTGGAATTAAGTTAATACAAATATGAAGTATATTCTGGTAGGTTAAGATGTATAACTTAAAAATATATAGTGAAAACTCATTAAGGAATTTAAAATGCTACATGAGAAAAACATTAACCTAATGTGAGAAAATGCAGTAAAAAAAAAAAGGAATAGGAAAATAAAGAACATAGGAGAGAGGAAATATATACTAGCACTCAGATCATGGTTTCTAATACCATTTTCCAATAAAGAGACTCCTTGGAGAAATGGCTGATTTTAGGATTGGGGCAAGATATATCCAATTTGAGCTTAGAGCTCTTTATACTGCCAGAACATAGGGAACTACTGGGGGGAAAAAAGGAAGAGGAAGCGTGTCAAAATGAAACAGAAACAATCTGAAAGAAATACCAAAGATCAAAGCTGGAATTATTTGAATAACAAAATAAATGAAGCAGCATTAGATTCTAATGCTGTATTACTTTACTAGGGCTGTCATAACAAAACCACAGACTAGGTCACTTAAACAACAGAAATATATTTTCTTATGGCTCTGAAAATTATACATTGAAGGTTCAGTTTCTTCTGAGGCCTCTTTGACCTATATAGATGGCTGCCTTCTTGCTGTGTGCCCACACAGAATTCCTTTGCTTTGTGCATGTATATACTCTGTTATCTCTCTGTATGTACTAATTTCTTTTCATAAGTACATCAGACAGATTGGTTTATAGCCCACCCTAATCCATTCATTTTAATTTAATTAGCTTTTAAAAGGCCCTACCTTCAAATGCAGGTACTAGGGTTAGGATTTCAACATATGGAATCTTGTTTCACAGTTAAATCTTTCATCCATTTTGAGTTTATCTTTGTGCATGGTATAAGAGAATGGTCGAGTTTCATTCTTCTGCATGTGGATGTCCAATTTTCCCAGCACCATTTATTGAAGAGACTGTCTTTCTTCCAGTGGATCGTCTTTCCTCCTTTGTCGAATATTAATTGACCATAAAGTTGAGGGTCCACTTCTGGATTCTCTATTCTGTTCCATTGATCTATGTGTCTGTTTTTGTGCCAGTACCGCACTGTCTTGATGACCACAGCTTTGTAGTGGACAAACATTATATGGTCTCATTCATTTGGGGAATATATAAAATAGTGAAAGGGAATAAAGGGGAAAGGAGAAAAAATGAGTGGGAAATATCAGAGAGGGAGACAGAACATGAGAGACTCCTAACTCTAGGAAATGAACAATGGGTGGTGGAAAGGGAGGTGGGCGGGAGGTGGGGGTGACTGGGTGACGGGCACTGAGGGGGGCACTTGATGGGATGAGCACTGGGTGTTATGCTATATGTTGGCAAATTGAACTCCAATAAAGAATAAAAATTTTAAAAAAGGATTTCAACATATAAATTTTAGTGAGACACAATTTGGTTCATAACAAACACGAAGTATAAAATAAATATACATCAGTACATACTGATACAAATAAGTGAATCAATAAATGTTTTTAAAATGGAGAAGAGGGGCACCTGGGTGGCTCAATCATTTGAGCATCTGCCTTTGGCTTAGGTCATGATCCCAGGACCCTTGGATTAGCCCCCATCAGGCTCTCTGCTCAGTGGGGAGTCTACTTCTCCTTCTCCCTCTGCCTGCTCCCCCTGCTTGTGTTCTCTCTCTCTGTCAAGTGAATAAATAAAAAATCTTTAAAAATGAAGAAGAGACAAATCTCTTATGCTGAAGAATTACAAATGAACTTTGTAAATATTCCACTCTAAAGGAGGGGGAACATATGTTTCCATTCCTTAAGTGTGGGCAACACATAGTGACTTCTTTTCAAATAGTACAGTATATAAAGGGAGAAAAGAGCAACTTTACAATGAAGAGACCCGAAAAACACAAATTACTTCCTAAAGTTTTCATGAAAACTCAGTGGAGCTAAAATAGTCAAGGCAAATTGAAAACAAAGTTGGAAGACTCACACTTCCCAAATTCAAAACTTACTACAAAGCAACAGTGGTCAAGAGACTGTAGTAATGGCATAAGCATAGACATATAGATTAATAGAACAGAATTGAAAGTCCTCACATAACACTGTATCAATGGCCAATGATTTTTGACAAGGGTGCCAAAACTATCCCATGGGGAAAGAACAGGCTTTTCAACAAATGGTACTGGAACAACTGGATAACCATATTCAGAAGAATAAAGTTGGACTCACATCTCACAACATATACAAAAATAGATTTAAAAAATCCTGACTATACCAACATTCACCAAAGATGTATAGTAACTGGACCACTCATAAATTGCTGATGGAGCTGTAAAATGTTACAAACACTTTGGAAATTTGTTTGGAATCATCATAAAAACTTAAACATACATCTACCATATAACACAACCATCCTACTTCTAGGTAGTTACCTAAGAGAAATAAAAGCATAAATCCACTGAAAGACTTGTACACAAATGTCCAAAAAAGCATTACTCATAATATCCCCAAACTAGAGAAAATACAAATGTGTAAATACATGTAAATAAACAAATTATAGTATATGCAATCAGTAGAAAACTACTCAGCAATAAAAAGAAGCATGATTGATACCCACACCAATGTCCTCAAAATAACTATGCTTAAAGACAATAAAAAACAGAAAGTATATAATTGATTATTCCAATTATTAATTCTATAAAATGCAAGAATGATGCAAATTATATCAGTGATTATCTAGAAATCAGTGGAGATAGGGTTTGAAGGGGGAATTATAAAGAAGCACAAGAAAACTTTTGGAAGAATGAAGACGTGTACATTATGTTGTGATAGTTTCTTGGGTATATGCTTACATCAGAAATTATAAATTATGTATTTGAAATACACACAGTATGCTTTGTATCAATCATATCTTATTGCAGCTGTTCAAAAGAGCAAGAAATGTACTTAAGGGCATAATAGATACAGTAGAAGAGGGAATATGTGATCTAGAAGGTAGATCCAAATAACATAGCCAAACCGAATGATAGAAGAAAAAAAAAAGTTTAGATACTACAAAAGAGAATGAAAGTCATATGGTAGGTCTAATATATGTTTAATTTGGTAGACCAGAAGCCAAGGAGAGAAAAAGTGGCATATATGAAATAATTGAACCATAATGATCAACAAGTGTCCAAAGTCCTCAAAAGCCATGATTTCAAGAAACTCTATATCCTCTAATTAGGATAAATTCAATGCAAGTCACATCTAAGTATATCACAGTAATAATACGTAAAGATAAAAATAAAAATTGTAATACAACCATATAAAAATAACCATATTATTATAAAAGGAGCAACACTAACAGATAGCTAATTCTCCAACAGAAATAGTGGAAGCCTCAAAACCATGTAATTACATTTCAAAATGCTGATTATATATAATAATCTTGGATTTAGAATCTTGCACCAAGGAAAAAATACCTCAAAAAAGTGTCACAAGCCCAGATGAATTAGACAGAGCAAATTGTCAGATATGGGAGTTATTGATTAAAGCAACAAGCCAAAAATGAAAGTAACATTCAACCCTTAATCATAGCAAGGGGCTAAACTAGAGAAAACTCTGACTCTCCCCTGTTCCATTTTCCTTCATGAAATGCCTTGCTCATTGAGGATCAAATGGATCAATAGATGTGGTGTTTTTTTGTTTTTTTTTACTGCTAAAGGAGCCTCAAAAAAAAAAGGCTCCTGATGTTTTGTAGACTCTGAACAAGGAGCTGCGGAGGGGAAAGTAGGAGAATGTCTAGTAAGTACCAAGTACTGAGTCAGAATGGAGAAAAGTATCTTTAAGATTTCCCCCTCTGCCAATAGAAGGCCTACACAGATGTGCCTGAGGAAGGCTCCAGATAAAGACTTCTAAAGGTACCTGAGGTAGGAATGCAAAATACAAAAAAAAAAAAAAAAAGGAATACAAAATACATATAAGAACATGGCCAGCCAGTGGAGTTTGAGTCCTTGACTGCAACTCTCTTCAGAGACTGGCTGTGTACACAACCTAGTATGGAAAGGGCAGCTTTTCTAAGAACTGCTAGGTAAATCCTTGGTAATTGGTGATGCAACAATCACACATAAGGCCTTAAAAAACTCACCTAGTTCATTTTTGGCCAAGAGCCAAACTCTTTAAAAATAAACTGTAATCAAGGCATTTTCAGAAAAACAAGAAACTAGGAAACTTTATCATCAGTAGCCCTGAATTAAAAGAAATACCAAAAGAGAGTTATTCAAGTGAAAACCCAAATATTAATGCAAATAGAAGCCTAGAAATGTAAGAAAGAAAAAGGAACAATGTAGAGAATATATATATAGGTAAATATAAATGAATATTCACTACACAAAACAATACTAAAGAAAGAACAAAAGAGGCGTTTGATTGGCGGCTGGGGCCGGTGACGTCAGGCGCCAAGCGGTGGGAGCGTGAGGGAGGCGTGTGGAGGCCTCTGCGAGCTTGCCGAGTCGGCGCCATGAGCAAGGCTCACCCTTCCGAGCTGAAAAACTTTATGGACAAGAAATTATCATTGAAATTAAATGGTGGCAGACATGTCCAAGGAATATTGCGAGGGTTCGATCCGTTCATGAATCTTGTGATAGAAGAATGTGTGGAGATGGCAACTAGCGGGCAACAGAACAATATTGGAATGGTGGTAATACGAGGAAATAGCATCATGTTAGAAGCCTTGGAACGAGTATGAACAATGGACATGTTCATCAGAAGAAGAAAACTGCTTCCACATGTCCCCTCTCCATAGTACCTGTTTTACTGCAATATAAAAATAAAAAAAAAATCAGGTCACCCGCATTTTCATATTGAACTTTTTTGTTAAGTAAACTTTTATAATAGTCAAAAAAAGAAAGAACAAAAGAAAGTATAACTGATTAACTACTAGAGGGGAAACAGAATAAAAGTAGGGAATAAAAAAATAAATGATAGAACAGATCCACATATAAATAATAAAAAGTTAAATTGGTAAATTTAAACCAAAACTTCATTAAAGAACAACCTCCAAATGAAAATAAACATTTAAAATGAAATTTTAGAAGATTTATTTATTTATTTTAAAGAGAAAGAGAGAAAGAGTGCACAACTGGGAGGGGCAGAGAGAGAGAGGGAGAGTGAGAATCTCAAATAGACTCCATACTGAGTATAGTGCCTGATGCTGGGCTTGATCTCACAACTCTGAGATCACAACCTGAGCTGAAACCAGGAGTTGGACACTTAACTGACTGTACCACCTGAGCTCCCCTATAATTAATTTTTAAAGCTACTTTTCATAAGACACAATTTAAACAAAAATTCAGAGAGCTTGAAAGCAGTATGATAAATATATATATCATGCAAATATTAATTAAAGATATCTAGTGAAGTAATACTAATATTGGATAAAGCATATTTTAAGGTAATAAAGCTTACAAGAAATAAAGGGGATATTTTATAATAAAGGTCAATAAAGTACAATAATATAATAATTTATATTCCCCTAACATCATAGCTTAAAAATAGAGTAAAAATTGACAGAGTAAAAGGGGAAAAATATTATTTTAAAATTACACTTATAGTAGATTTCAGCACATCATTCTGAGTAATACATTAATCCAACTCACATTTATAGAAATGCATGTCAACTACACAATGCAAATTCTTGGAACACCTACCAAAATTGACCATATGCTGATCAATAATATAAGCCTCAGCTAATTTTAAGAACCAAAATCACACAAATTATATAATCTGACCAGAATGGGCATAATCTTGAAAACACTGACAAAAACGTTAACTAGGATATATAATGAATGAAAATGGTAATATTAAATGTAAATTGCATTATAAATTATAATATTAAAACTCGTTAAAGGTAGATAAAAGACTCTTATAGTGTAATGTATAGCCTGAAATACATATATTAGAAAAAGAATAAAGAGGAATATTCTGAGGGAGCAAAAAGAATGTGCCTGAGAATTATCAGCTCATGGAAAGAGAAGGGAGCTTACCCTCTTGCTTCTATCTTCAATTAATGAAGAATTTTTCCATGGGCTCCCACATGTCTAGGCTATATGCTCACAGGTGCAGAGCAGATTTTCACTGATACCCACCATTGCTGAGTATGATAAACCCTGGTGAAATGAGGTAAAGTGCTGTCAAGTTACACCTGTGTGAAGTTAGTAGCCACAATGTCTGGCAAAAATGGCAGGCTTTGCACTTGCAAACTGAAGCCCAATATGTGCCCAATACAATATTCATTTCAAGTAAAAAAAAAAAAGAAGCAAGTTAAAGAAAGCAACCATAATGAAATAGCAAAAGCAGAAGTTAATATAGAAGAACTATACTAGAGAAAATATCAATAAGCACAGTTTGTTTCTTTGAAAAAGACAAATAAAATCGATAAACCTCTGGCAAGATTGAGAAAGAAAGAGAAAAGCCAAATAGAAAAGTACACGTTGTGAATATTAAGAGTAAAAATTTTATTGAACCTACAAACATCAAACAAATAAGATATTATGAACAGCTTTATGCCAACAAATTTGACAATTTAAATAAAATTGATAATTTCCTGGAAAAGTACAGCCTATACAATGTACACAAAATATAGATCTGAATAATTCAACTAATAAAGAATATTAAATTTATACTTAAAAAGGATAGCTTTACCAGTAAACTTCCCCACACATTTATAAATGTCCCCAACCTTACTCAAACTCTTCCAGTATATAGAGAAATATTCACTACTTCCCAATTCATTTTATAAGGCCAACAAAACTTTAACACTAAAACCTGACAAGGTCAATGTATGGATGGTATATTACAAGTCTATTCCTACCATAAATGTACATGCAAAAAGCATAAACTGAAACCAGCAATATATAATAAATATAATACATAATGAAATTGGATTTTTTGAGGGGATGCAAGATTGGTTTAACATTTATAAAGCAATCATTAAAATTCACTACAAAGGAGAAAAATCATATGATGATCTCAATAGATATAATAAAAGTATTTGATAAAATTCAAGATTCCTTAATGATAAGAGAGGGAAAAAATTCTTAGAAAATTAGGAATATTAGCTCTGAGTCTTTTGTATATGCCTTTATGATGTTGAGGTATGTTTCCTCTGTCCTTACTTGGTCAAGAGTTTTTGTCAAGAATGGATGTCATATTTTATCAAATGCTTTTTCTGCATCTATTGAGAGGCTCATATGGTTCTTATGCTTTCTTTTATTAATGGGAAAACAGTATGGAGTTTCCTCAAACAGTTAAAAATATAACTACCTTACAAGCCCGCAGTTGCACTACTAGGTATTTATCCAAAGGATATAAAAATACTGATTCAAAGGGAAACATGCTCCCCTATGTTTATAGCAGCATTATCAACAATAGCTAAGGGATGCCTGGGTGCTCAGCGGTTGAGCATCTGCATTTGGCTCAGGGCATGATCCTGGAGTATTGGGATGGAGTCCGACATCGGGCTTCTTGCATGGAGCCTGCTTCTACCTCTGCCTGTGTCTCTGCCTCTTTCTGTGTGTGTCTCTCATGAATAAATAAATAAAATCTTAAAAAAAAAAACAGTAGTAAATTATGGAAAGACCCCAAATGTTTATCGACTAATGAATGGATAAAGAAGTAAATATTTACAATGGAATGTTGCTCAGCCATCAAAAAGAATGAAATCTTGCCATTCACAATGATATGGATAGAGCTAGAATATATTATGCTAAGTGAAACAAGCCAAAGAAAGACAAATACCACATGAGTTCACTCATATGTGGAATTTAAGAAACAAAACAGATGAACATAGGAGAAGGGGAAAAAAGAGAGAGGGAAGCAAACCATAGAGACTTTTAACTATAGAGAACAAACTGAGGGTTGCTGGAAAGGAAGTGGGCAGGGGGATGTGCTAAATGGGTGACGGGTACTAAGGAGGGCATTTGTAATGACCATTGGGTGTTATATTTAAATGATGAATCACTAAATTCTACTCCTGAAACAAATGTTACACTGCATGTTAACTAACTAGAATTTAAATAAAAAATTGAAAATAAATATATAAAATAAAATTAGGAATGGAATGAAACTTCCTTAATTTCAGAGACAGTTTCCATAAAATACCTAGAACAAGAACAATGTCCACAATAGCCAAACTGTGGAAGGAGCCTCGGCGTCCATATAGAGATGAATGAATAAAGAAGATGTGGTTTATGTATACAATGGAATATTACTCAGCCATTAGAAACGACAAATACCCACCATTTGCTTCAATGTGGATGGAACTGGAGGGTATTATGCTGAGTGAAGTAAGTCAATCAGAGAAGGACAAACATTATATGGTCTCATTCATTTGGGGAATATAAATAATAGTGAAAGGGAATATAAGGGAAGGGAGAAGAAATGCGTAGGAAATATCAGAAAGGGAGACAGAACATAAAGACTTCTAACTCTGGGAAATGAACTAGGGGTGGTGGAGGGGGAGGAGGGCGGGGTGTGGGGGTGAATGGGTGACAGGCACTGAGGGGGGCACTTGACAGGATGAGCACTGGGTGTTATTTTGTATGTTGGCAAATTGAACACCAATAAAAAATAAATTTATTATTTTAAAAAAATACCTAGAACAATTATAGGGTAAAACTAAGCTATGACATTATCGGTCAGGTATTATCATTCAACTGTGGGTCAGTGAGTCAGAGTAATGACTGATCAGAAAACATGAGATGGCCTTGAGAGCACCGGCAATGCTCTATTTCTCAGTTATAGGTGATTGTTATGTATTTACTGTATTGTTATGTATGTTGTGATGATTCACCTCACTCTAAGGTGATCTTTTCTATTATGTTCAGACATTTAAAAAATCAAATTTATCAAAGCTGAGATTACCTTAAACTTGCTTCTCCTGCAATGCCTGGCAACTCAAGGTAAGCAGCCATTCTTGATTGTTCAATCTCCCCAATCAGCCACTTTGTTTTTTCTACAAACTACCTATCTCTAAAACCCATCGAAGAACTGCCATTACTTTATCTTAAACCATCATTACTCTCATCTGGATTACTGAAATGACTTTCTCTCAACTCATCCCTTTGCCTTCATTTTCTGCCCTTTCCAAACCCTTTCTCTAGGGTATAGTCCAAATTGATTTCCTAAAACACAAATCACAAAACTAGTCATATAATTCCTTTGTTAAAAAAACCTTCATTTCTTCCTATTTTTAGATAAAGTCTGTTGACTATGATTTAACTCATCAAATGCTTAATGATCAGGCTCCTGCTTATTTCCCCAGTCTTATCTCTTGCCTTCACCATTTATCTCCTCTTTCTATCAAATGCTTGCAAAATGTGTTCCATCTACACTAAATAATTTGCAACTACTAAAATACACCTCCAGACGGGTCAAGACTCCAAAAGGTCTGAAAGGCTTTAGGGGCAACAATGCTATTAGAAGTGTTTAGGGAAAACAGTATTGTTGGAAGATGATGCTAAAAGTGTTGATTTGAAGTTGTATTTCCATAACAAACAAACCTTTTTGTGCATGTGTTTTGTAGCGGGAAGGCAGTACTAATAGAGTTTATGAGGGGTTTATGAAGCCTCCCTTTGTCACCAATTTCCTCCAGACTTTTGCACTTGTGATTTGTGCTTTCTAGAGTTTTTTTTTCTTTCTAGAGTTTTTTAATTCTCTCAGTCTTCCCACCTAATCATCAGATCATTTTTCCAGGTTAGATGTTACTTTCTCC